GTATTGTAAAAAAATTTTTTTATGTGTTTCACACCGTGTGTAAAATCAATTGTGTAACATCAACGTTTCCTCCTGTTTATTGGACCTAATGATGCCGATATGAAGTCATAGGTCAAATAAGTTTGCATGAATTATGAGATCATTGATCTTGCGAGTCTAATGATAAGTATAAATAAGCCACAAAATCCAAAGGGTTTCCTTTGCTGCTTTTAGTAGTTCCCAAAACCCTATTTTTCTGGCTAATCGAAACGTTCTTCCCCCACCCCTCCCAAGGAAATTCATTCAGATAACCGACCAAACAGATATACCCATCGATGCTATTCAATGCTGCGAACAATACGTTTGCGAAATCGAAATGAGAGGATAGAGTGTTCATTTGCATCGTTTAAGGAGTAAGATAAAGCAGCTGTTAAAACCTCACACTGTACTGAGAAGTAAGAAGGAAACAGCTGTGAAAATCCCACACTGTTCTTGGTAAGACGAAGCAGCTGTGAAAACCCCACACTGCTCTGGGAACGATGGAAGGGCAAAGCACGCCTACACGGTCCCAGAAATTACAAAAGGAAGTAGGTAAGAATCAAAATAAAATATGGAAATTGTAAACATGACAAGGTGTAAAGGACCACGCACGGGCAATTGGCAATTGGCAATTGGCAGTGGCACCATTCCCATAGCTTTCTACATGATGTATTTTTTGCATTACTTGAGTCATGAAAATTGATTTATTAATTAATTGCAATTTTTGCAGTTGTTTGAAAAATGTAATGACTTGATAAAATATGTAAGAATAAACATAAGTATGGGTACATTGTAGTTTTTGAATTAAATTGTACAAATCACAATATTAATTTACATTCCTTTATAAAGACATGTATATAGTACAGCATTCTAAAAAAAATTTTTTTAAATCGGTTTCAAAGAGTGCCAAAGTTCTAAACAAATGTTACATAGTGTAATTTATGTTCATCCAGTCATAATCGATAGTACTCTTCCAGATCATAGCACATATCAAAAAGATGCTTTTTTTAGACCTTCAAATGATGGCGTGCATTAATGCAATTTATGTTCTTCCAGATCACAGCCAATAATCAAAAAGATGCTCTTTTTAGATGATAATCATCAGCGTAATTTACATTCTTTCGACGATGCCTTTTTTAGACCTTCAAATGATGGAAAATATCTGTGTAATTTATGTCCTTCCAGTCATAGTCGATAGTAGAGTTCTGCAAGTGCCAGGCACGGGCACTATTAAAACATAGTGCCAGGCACAGGCCTGGGCACCATTTTTAATAGTACGTGCCCGGCACTTGCAGAACCCTAGTCGATAGTGTTCTTTCAGACTATTTATATATAATAGATTATGAGTATAGTATGCTAATTTTATATACTCAAATGCGATTTTTGCGTTATACTCCACTACTTTACTAAACCATACACCACTACCGCAATACAGCTATTTAAAGCTTAGTATTTACGACGTCTACCCATTTTTGTAATAGTTATCCGTTGATCGTTCTAGACTACTTACAAATACTATTATGAACTATATAACGATAAAGAACACTTCGTTTTTAATAGAACGTATCCAAACATTGGTTCTCGAAGTTATTCGTTGATCTGCTTCTATGATATATGACTATATCAAAGTGAATTTGTCATTAATAGTTAACACAATAAATTCTTGTAACAATTCATTATATCATTACAGATATATGTACTGGTATCTTAATATTGCATATTAAATAAATAACTAGATATGAATGGTTATGTTCTGCCTTATTTTAAAATATCATCTTTTACAAGAACTCACTGCATTTGTGCGACACTTTACATTATTAAGATTTAACGTAGCAAATATTTAAACAGATTCGTTAAGTTAGGATTTTCTTTTAAAAAAAAAAATCGGTATATAAACTTCCAAGTCTTCCAGAGCTGAATTCGATGAATTGATTAATAAATATTCACCTAAGTTTTGAAGTTGAGAACAACACAAAATATGATTTATTATTCTTCCTTTATATTCTGGATAATAACTTACATATAAGTTTATATAAAATTTTAAAAGTGTAATATTTACAACGCTAAATATCATCATCACCAATAAACTTTAATTATTAGTAACTTTTTAAAAGAAAACATTATGTCTAAACAGCCATCAGGAACTAAATCAACCATAATAAGTAAAATTTTACGACTTGTAGTAACATTGGTTTTCGATATTGGTTTACCATTACTCCTTTATTCTATCCTTTCAAGGCGTATACCAATCATCTTGGCACTAATAATATCAAGCATCCCACCAACAATTTACATTATTATTAATTTTATCCTTCACAAACAAGTAGACCATATAGGAATACTTATTATAATTGGATACATTGTCGGAACTATACTGTCATTAGTAAAAGATGATCCAAGATTATTATTACTACGGGAATCATTTGTCACTGGTGTAATGGGTTTAACTTTCGTTATCAGCTTGATTCCGATCAAAGTTGGCTCATTTGAAATGCGACCCTTAACATACCGTAGTGCCAAACAATTAGAATTGATAGATCTTGAGGGTTTAACAGAAGATGAACCTATTCCTGAACGTTGGGAAAGGCATTGGAAATCTTATCCTAGGTTTCGACAAATTTTTATTGTCATGACAGCTGTTTTTGGTTTTGGTTTACTTTTTGAAGTTCCGGCTCGTGTTTTCATTATTTATTCTATGCCAACAATTGATGATGCTGTTTATCTTGCTAGTATTATTTTTCCTTGTTGGTTGGGTTGTTTAATTTTATTTTCTACCATTTATTTAAGATATATGTTTAAAAAAGGTTATGTGATTAAGGATGCTGCTGAAGTTGCTGCTACCAATTAAATTTTAATTATATAAAATAGATTTTATGATCAACTACTTACGTACGTACATTGTAAAAAGCTCCGGGATGTCATTTGACTTATTCAATCTATTTTGTCTTTCTTACTTGTTTATTTATATTGTTCTTATTCTATCAACATAAATATGAATCTCTATCATTTTCCCGACCAAAATTGCCCGGAATTAACACTAACTGTATATTAATGCGAAAGTGGTTGTTAGGAAAATGATAAGATCCCCATAAATATATTTATATTGCAATATTACTTTGCAGAATTTTAAAATTTTGCCAAATACACTTATCAAAGGAATTTTATTCTCATTCAATTTACGGTTGCCCGACATCAATAAACGGCTACAATCTATAAACATTATTATCATTCTGGTGTGACCAAAGACAAACAAAAGGAAGTTAATAAATTTCTTTATTTAATAAAATTGACGAAAACGAATTGCAAGCATGTATCAAAGTACAAAATTCAGCATAAAACATGACAAAAAATGACAATAAAGTAATCATAGAATATTATTATGTTAATTGGTCTAATTGGACGCAACAATTGGAAATATATTTTATTTTAAAATACAATAACTTAATCCGATTGACAACATTGATATAAATTAAAAGGTAATGGTTATATTTAAACGTAAAAAAATTTTAATAAATTGTAGTGTTCATTATTTAAAGAATATTATGGTGAAGACATTGCACTGTCCGCGTATATCACAAAATTTAAATTGCTACTTTGACGTTATTTATTAAAATTTAGTTGGTTAATTACTCTAAATTATCTAAATAACAAAATATAGTAAGTAAACTTTATTCAGTTACAAATAAGTTTTTAATATAGAACTTACCAACAAAATCATCAATAAATCCTATAGGTTCATTAAATAAAAACATATTATTATAAAAATTTATTTTAAGTAACGATAAATATAATGATTTTTTTAAAGTAATTTGTTAAAAGTAAATACCTTCAATTGCACTAGAAATTTTTTGAGTGTTAATTATTTTGCTAGTGTACATAAAATCCGGATGTTTTGGTGTAATAATTGGCAATGTCTTAACTATTTCATCAGCATTTAAAAATTGCTTTGTAAATTCATTTTTATTTGAACTTCTAAAATTCCAAAACCACTCGTCAATTTTTTCATTAACTTGTTTAGCATTAGGCCGTTTTTCTGGATCAGAATCCATGCATTGCATTGCAAATTGAATATAAAAATTAGGTGTTCCGGGAGCAAATTTAGGCCGTAATCCATTACGAATAATATTAATTGCAAGAGCTTCATCAAACTCATATCCATCAAAAGGTCTTTGCCCAGTTGTCATCTCTGACATTATAACTCCGAAGCTATAGATATCAGCTGCTAGAGTAAATTCTTGACCTTTCAAAACTTCAGGAGCGACATAAGGCATGACACCATAACAACCACCTTTGACATTTTCATCATGATTACACCTAGACAATCCTAGATCTGCAACGTAAGTTTGCATACTTCTACCAATACCTTTATCTTGCAGAATATTTCCACTGTGAAAATCAGCATGAATATATTGATTTCTGTGAAGCTCATACAATTCATTAGAAATTCTTGAAAGTATTGTTAATTTAATCTTCCAAGTAAGTTCAGAAAAATTTAATTTTAAAAAATTATGAAGATTTCCACTATCAACATATTGAAAAACCATTAAATATTCATCTGTTTCGGGATTTCGTGTTAATCCATAGATTTTAAGCTTAGTGTCAAAAGTTAAGGAATATTTTAAGTAGCCCATATGAATGTTAAACTTTATCAAATAAAATAAATAAATTAGTTCATAAATTTAATAAACCGAATAGTTAAAATGATTTAACTTACTTCATTAGGATTAGAAGATAAAGTTTTAAGAGCAACAATACTTGGTTCATTTGATTCGCGTGTTTTCACACAACCACCATAAATACAACTAGTTCCATAACCTGGAAGTCTTTCAAATTTTGGTATACCGTCTAACCATATTGCTGAATATACACGACCAAATCCTCCTTCACCAATTTGTTTAATATTATTAAATCTATCAAATGAAATCCATTCGATCATATCACCATGAGATTTAATATATTCATCGATATTCTTATTTCCACTTGTCCATTTTGGCATAGATGGATCCATTTTTTTTAAAAAAAAAAGACATGGATGGTGGTGTGTTACATCTTTATATATGGGTGAAAACCAAGAATTCTAAAAATAGGCTTCTTACGTAATCGGTGTATTACACATAACGATAATTTATCTTTTATGTATGTACAGTACGTACAATGCAGGAAATTTAAAAACCTCAATCTCTATCGCTATCACAATGTTAAGATAATGCATAAACTAGTAACTCATTGAAAATAAATTTCTTAAATAATCCATCTCAATAAAGTGATCAGCGTAGAAATAATATGGGATCTTTGCTGGAAAAATTACCCGAGCCATTGTTACACGAGATTTTTATTAGGCATCTATTTTTAGAAAAAAAAATCTACGTACAGTCGGCTCCAAAAGTTTATCACGGTTACACAAAAATAATATGCAAAATATTAATAAATACAACTGACTCTTGATATGAAAAAGTCACCGAGTCCAGCTAAAATCCTACTTATATCAAACATTCTTATATTAAAACATAAATTTTTGACTGAAATTGGTAAAAACTTTCTTATGCCAAGAGCTTTTTATATCGAAGGTTTCCTATATCGAGAGTTACATTTATAGTTGTTTCTGTGTAACCGTGATAAACTTTTGGAGCCGACTGTACGTAGCAAAGATCCCATATGTACTTAATAGGTGCTTGCGGCTGTAACTTAAATTAAGTCACTACTGAATTTAGCTTACCTCCAATGTGGCTGGTCGTTTTTTTATTCTATATAAAGTGAACGAGTTTTTTGGATTTCCTGCATCGTACGTAGGCGTTTTCGGTAGAATTAATTTGACAAATTAATACGGTTACGGTATGTGCCGTATTATTTGCCGCAATTATTTTGTGCCATAATGCCGCAATGCCGTTATATTGAAATACCATAATGCTGTTGTAGGCAATGCTGCAATAACATAGGATAACATTCCGCTAGTGTTTATAGTTTAAAGTAACTTTTAGATTTACTGGTTTTGTGAATGGATATTTATTGACCATCAAAGTTCGTAGTGAAAGATCTTAATTTTTTTTTTTTACTATTCGGTCAAGATTACTTCCTATAGCTGGAGTAAATTTTGTTTTCGAATTATCCTAAAATAAAAGGACTTGTTTTAAAATTCCAATATTGTCTCAAATTATATATATTTTTACTAATGCGAAAGAAATTAACGATTGACGTAATGCTCAAGCTGCAGAGCTACAATGTAGTTATTATCGTTTCCATTCTTTCATTGACCGACAATCAATTCACCGACAAGTGCATTTCAGTGACGGTCATAGGCAGAAGTTCGTCTGATTGACTAATAAATTTAATTTAATTTTACATTATTTATACAGTTTAGAATACTTATTAAAAAAATGAAATCCAACCATAATAAAGTAAAAAAAAAAAACCCCCATATACATAGAAGGTTTTCATTAGAGCTGTAGGACTTCATAGTTAAAAAAAAAAAATCTAATTCTCGTCTGTTTAAAAAATTAGCTTAATAATAAGTTGATTTTATTGGGTTTTGAGAAGTTATTACTATACTAACTCTCTTAAACGGACGAGAATTAGATCTTATTATTGGCAATGGAGTCCTACAGCTCTAATGAAACCTTCTATACAACCTTTTTTTTTGATTAGTTTTCATTTTTTTAAAAAGTACTCTAAACTATATAAATAATATAACATTAAATTGAATTATTGGCCAATCAGACAAACTTCTGGCTATGAAATTAATGCGGGCTAACTTGTCGGGAAAATGATAGGATCCCATAAATATATTTATTTTGCAATATTACTTTGCAGAAACTTAAAATTTTGCTAAATACACTTATCAGGAGAATTCTATTCTCATTCAATTTAAGGTCGCCCGAAATCAATAAACGGTTGCAATCTATAAACATTACTATCTTACCGATGTGAGTTTATTGGAACAAAAGAAGTTAATAAATTTTTTATTTAATAAAATTGACAAAAACGGATTGCAAGCATGTATCAAAGTGGCATAAAACATGACAAAACATGACAAGAAAGTAAATCATAGAAATATTATTATGTTAATTGGTCTAATTGGACGCAATAATTGGATCAATTTGAAATATATTTTATTTAAAAAAATACAATAACTTCATCCGATTGACAATATTGATATAATATTTTAGTGAATACATCACATTGTCTGTGTATGTCACAAATTTTAAATTGCTACTTTGAAGTTATTTATTAAATTTAGTTGGTTAATTACTCTAAATTATCTAAATAACAAAATATAGTAAGCAAAATTTATTCAGTTACTTACCAACAAAATCATAAATAAATTCTATAGGTTCATTCAATAAAAATAAATTATTATAAAAAATCTATTTTAAGTAACGATAAATACAATGAATTTTTTTAAAATAATTTGTTAAAAGTAAATACCTTCAATTGCACTAGAAATTTTTTGAGTGTTAATTATTTTGCTAGTGTACATAAAATCTGGATGTTTTGGTGTAATAATTGGCAATATCTTAACTATTTTATCAGCATTTAAAAATTGCTTTGTAAATTCATTTTTATTTGAACTTCTAAAATTCCCAAATCACTCGTCAATTTTTTCATTAACTTGTTTAGCATTAGGCCGTTTTTCTGGATCAGAATCCATGCCCGTAGTCCATTACGAATTATATTAATTGCAAGAATTTCAGTTGTCATCTCTGACATTATAACTCCGAAGCTATAAACATCAGCTGCTAGAGTAAATTTTTGACCTTTCAAAACTTCAGGAGAGACATAAGGCATGAACCATAACAATCATCTTTGGTATTTTCATCATAATTACATATCCTAGATCCGCAACGTAAGTTT